AGAGAGGTGGTCCTTCTGACCTACGCGTATGACGGGAGAGGTGGTCCTTCTGACCTACGCGTATGACGGGAGAGGTGGTCCTTCTGACCTACGCGTATGACGGGAGAGGTGGTCCTTCTGACCTACGCGTATGCTATACTAATGGCTATTATGCATTTGAAACACCCTTTTTTGAAAATCTTGAAAAAACCTTGATACAATGTTGGATTTGTCATTGAATGGATTTATTGTATTTGTAGCTAGCACGAACACACTTCACATAAAACTAGCATCTAGTTGGCGCTAGTAGTAAGATTAGCAAGTGCCAGCAAAGCGATTAGTTGTACAAGAAGGAGTAAACTATTTCTATGGAGAATTCTTAGTAAACGAAACTATTAATGAGAGATATATTAGCAGGGTAAACCTCTACTAGAGAGCAATATGCATTTCGGCACAAGCACTATCTACAAATTCCACCTCATTGTCTCATAGGCTTCCAGATCCACCGATGGCGAAAACCATGATTCGAATAAGAGTATGACTAGCAAACATATACGCGTAACATAAAATTCATTATCTCCTACTAGTCTCTGGCACCGCTACCAGCGCCAACGAAATTTATATACAGTAGTTAGGTCGCTCCGGCATTACGTGCCATTGCCTGCAAAATTGAAATAGAACTACCATAAAATTGTGCTACGGCGTAGCTCTTTATAGCAACTCACAATTTTATTCAATTACTGACGATGGTGACGGAGGCACGAGACGGAAAGGGCGAAAAACATAGAAGATAGCAAGCAATGTGGGCGTGGTCACACGGATGTTCGGGCAAACGAACTGAAAAAAGTCACAAGGCAGGCAGGCAGACAGCCATGGAGGCGGGCGGGCAAGGAGATGAGCAGGCAGGCAAGCAGGTAAGCTGGCAGTCAGGCAGGCAGGCAGGCAGGCAGGCAGGCAGGCAGGCAGGCAGGCAGGCCGGCACGGAGGCGGGCGGGCAGGCAGACAGGCAGGAAGGCAGGCAGGCAAGCAGGCAGGCAGGTAAGCTGGCAGGCAAATAGGCAGGCAGGCAGGCAAGCATGGAGGCGGGCAGGCAGGCAGGCAGGCAGGCGGCAGACAGGCAGGCAGCAGGTAGACATGAAGGCGGGCGGGCAGGCAGGCAGACAGGCAGGCAGGCGGCAGACAGGCAGACAGGCAGGCAGGCGGCAGACAGGCAGGCAGGCAGGCAGGAAAGCATGGAGGCGGACGGGCAGGCTGACAGACAGGCAGACAGGCAGGCAGGCAGGCAGGCAGGCAGGCAGGCAGACAGGCAGACAGGGAGGCAGGCAGGCAGGCAGGCAGGCGGCAGACAGGCAGACAGGGAGGCAGACAGGCAGGCAGGCAGGCAGGCAGGCAGGCAGGCAG